TTATTTAATAAATAAAGTTATTTATTGTATATTGCAATAATGTGAAAAACATTACAAGTCTGTAACAAATATCACTTGAACGTAGGAAGATAATGTACGTTTATTGCACGCTTTAGTAAACTCTTTACTTTATAAAAGTCAAGATACTTTCGATTCCGTTTCTTGAATTTTATTCTCATTGACAATCTTAAATTGAAATGTAATACATTTTAATGAATCATCTCTTTGCTGTAGTAGACGAAATGTGGATTATTGTAGCTAACTTGGGGCTATAACTGTCTAACTTTCCCAAAAGACTGCTTTAGGGCAGATATTCAGTAATACACCACCACTCCATGAGCGATTTGTACAACCCTTACTTTTCAAGCTCGCTGCAATTGCTCTGGCGCTGTGCCCGCGAATTCTAAGCTAGTTACCTTGTCCGCGACCTTGACATGTCTGTATTAAACTACGGACGAGCATAATGTCCACAGCGAAAATTTAAACCTGGACCTTTCACAGAGAAGTCTACATGTACAGAACGGTGCACGGTAATGAAAAAAAAGAACGTAAAAAAAATGTCCTGCGTCTCGCTGTTCAGATCTCTGTCAGAGAATCGTATCAGAATAAATCAGTAACATCATGTGTCGTTGTACCTTCATTTGTGTCAATTTTTGACGAATTACACTAGCATGCTGTGTTGAATGGAGAGCGAACTGGAATACAGAAAGTTGTAACATATGTAACAGATAAAACAAGGGGTTTAAATTCTATCGAAATACGTACTTTTCTAGGTGTCAAGTAGAAGGCTGTTCAGTATGACAAATCTCTTTGGAATCATGCTATGTGATACAAACTGGAAAATCCCATTACACTGATTTTCCTTAATACACAGACTTCCTGTCCCTCACATAAACTGTCAACCGCACTATCTTGTACAATCAATGTAATAGTCAACAGAAATGTTTGTACTTCCTCTTTGATTAAACTCGTGGAGTAATGATTTTGCTTAGTTTGCTACTAAGAGTATAATTGGATCGTTATTTCGTGAAAAGGTATTTATCGCTTTCGAATAAAACTATTGCCCTAGCACACAGGTTCATGTGCTATCATTTATATAGAGTTAAATCTGGTTCAAGAAACGGGCGATGCAGATGAACAGAAAAGCAGCACCGCTTCCGAGAGGTGAGTCGCGTCGCGTCGCGTCGCGTCGCGTCGAGTCGCGTCGAGTCGCGTCGAGTCGCGTCGCGTCGCGTCGAGTCGCGTCGAGTCGCGTCGAGTCGCGTCGAGTCGCGTCGAGTCGCGTCGGAGTCGCGGTGAGTCGCGGCGAGTCGGCGTCGAGTTCCGCGTCGAGTCGCGTCGAGTCGAGTCGAGTCGAGTCCGAGTCGCAGTCGCGTCGCGTCGGTTGGCGTTCGGTAGCGGCGTCGAGTTCGCGTCGCGTCGCGTCGAGTCGGTCGAGTTCGCAGTCGAGTCGCGGTCGAGTCGGTCGAGTCGAGTGCGAGTCGAGTCGAGTCGAGTCGAGTCGAGTCGAGTCGCGTCGAGTCGCGTCGAGTCGCGTCGAGTCGCCCTGCCCCACTGTATTCCGTATGCAGCCGGCGCGCAATGGGTTTGGCGCGCTCGCGCGGGTCCTTCGCGGAGTCCTTACGCGGTCCGCGAGGTCGCGTGGGCGGAGGCTATTGTGGAAGGTGACGCGTCGCCGCGATGAACGGAGCAAACATGTCGAGCACGCCCCCGTCGCTTGGGGTTACGGCGAAGGCGTAGGGTGGGCACTCGATGCGATAGTCGGTGGCAATGCCTATAGGCCGCAGAATACTTCTAGAAACTGTTCGAATCTGGACGTTGTTTACAAGGAAATTGTGTGCAGTTTTTGTGAATGTTTAGGTATATGATTTTCAGGCTATTCTTAGTACGATAATCAAATCTAAGATTTTATTCGCGTAACAATACGCATATTTCCTCTAAGCCACTACTGGAGATTTTATGATAGGCCAAATCGGGAATAAAGAAAGCGCTTTAAAAAAATTAATTATTACGCGCCCGTTATTTATTTTTTTCGATACGTTTACTGTGGTTCTGACCATTATCAGTTGAAGATTACCCCCTTAGCTATACGCGAATAGCTGCATCCCGTGGTGCTTTTCTCTGCTAGTTGCGGCGTTTCATCCGACGCCGTGGCTCGCAAACCTTGGGATGACGACACGCTAAGACACCCGCGCCCTGCTGCAACATCGCAATATCTTGGGCGTTGCAGCATCCGAGCAGAATGGTGCGTTCTCAACTGCAGCGAATCATCCATGCCTTGCGCTCAAATGATACTTACTTGCGCAGTGGAGTGCGTTTTTTTGTCTTTTTTTATGGAAAGTTTCTATACTTGGACAAAGAAAGAAAGAAAAGTAATTGCATTTCCCACAGCACGAAAGCTCGTGCTTGTTTATTGATGAATTGGTGAAAGCTATGGCGAGAGAAACTGCAATCAACGCAGTTCAGCATCCGATTCGCCTTTGTGCCCTTACTCTAGGAATAGAGTTGTCTACGGCTTTATTGTATCAGTTAATTAGAAACTTAATTTGTAGTCGACACAAATCAACAACTTACATAATTCAAAGTCGCACTGAATGAATTGTAAAAATGCAAAACAGTTCATTTCACCTGTCACAAACCAAGAGAATGACTGTTTTAGAGCTGCAAAAAGTATGTCCCTGATAAATGTTACAATTACTGCGCGATGAGCGAAGTAAGCAAATGTGTGAGGAAGAAACGAGCAAGTTCAAAGCCGAAAGAATGACTAATAAGGAACGCGCGTGTGTGTATATGTAACACGCAGCGAGTGCGGGCTGGGGCACGCCCTCCTGCTCTTGACCGAGCCACGCCAAGGCTGGGCCTCCGCTCCGTGGGCGCCGCGCCGCCCCGCCCCTCCTGGCTCAGGCTGTTCACCCCGGCGCCACCCACACGCCCTGCCCATATGAGCGCCAGGGTGGAGTCTCTCCGGCAGACTACATATCCTTCATAGGATGACGCTTTGGCGAGCTTTTTTCCTTGTAAAATAAACAATTCGGTGATGAAAGTTTTCATTCTTACGAATATTTGCAGTAATGAATGTTGAAATGAGAAGTTCTTCAACTGTCTCACACATTTTTTTTCTTGTCTACACACTAAATTATCACGAAATGTGGTGTGAAATCTGAAGTTTATCATAATGTGGTTTCGCTCGAATTAATTAATTTTTATAAGTATCCCTGACCGCGGCTTGTTTTTTAATGGTTTTTCACTTGTTCGAATTTTGAGAAAGCTTCTCAAGTGCTGCAAAGAGTGAATTCAGCGACGTAAATTGCTTTATGAATATACAGTTGTCTGCCATATTATTATACGCACTAAGAAAATATCAGTTTTTCATTTCTGTGTAAAACAATATTTCTAATCAGTGTTTTCAATTTGTCTTTATTATGCTGTTAATATTAATCTGTGTTTAATATTTGCACAATTAAAAAATTGAAAACCATTCAGACATGTTTCTTCTAAAGAAATGAAAAAATGTCATTTTATTAGCGAATACGGCGTACCACTGTAAATACACTGTGTCGTTTAGTAGTAATATTTGCAACGTATTGCTTCTCAGGACACACATTCGCTTGTTTCCGGAAAAATTAAATTAACGTATAAACGTATAAGATTGTTTACGAAGATGTTAGAACATGGGGGTGTGAATTCCATTTATCGTTTTAATTGTATTATTTATATGCCGTGAAGTGCAAAAGAAACCATCGTGGATTTTTCTAGCATGTGCTCCTTCCCCTCTACTTGATCGCTTCTCTCATTCCCGCCTCCGAAGCACGTGTATGCACTCAACGCGTGCACGTTATGTAACAGCCGGAGTCGGATGTACAAGTCCGTTGTTGGTTGTTAGCGTGACAAATGCGTGGGCTGGTGTATAATGCGGCTAGATCATTCAGGAAATAAATATCTGGTTTCTTGATGATGCTCGCACGATGTGTTAATGAAAAAAATTTTTTTTTTGTTTGGAGAATGTTTCCGATACAGTAAATAATAATAATAATAATATAAATTATTATCATTAAAGAATTATTGCGCAAAATATCTATTGTGCTGTTAATTAATTTAAAAATATTCAATGTTTTGTTTACTTTTGTTCAACAATTTGTTTACCTGTTTCTTTCTAACATTACTGTAAACTTTGAGGCAAGATATCCCGAAGATTGAGAATGGGCAAATACGAATTTAATTAAAATATTCGAAATGATTAATTACTAATTAGTTTATTTATTTTTGATTTAAGGAGGATAGAAAAATCACTAATACGACAACTAGGACTTACGAGATAAATTCCCTTGAATTGCTTAAGATTCGCCAATTTGTGATTTTTATTGTGTGAAGTTTGTTCATTGTAATCAGTTGAATTTAGTACTAAAGTACAAAGTAAACATATTTTGGTATGTCTTGTTTTAAGATTTTACATTATTATTATAATATAATTAAAACGTTTTTAAACCTGAAAAATATGTAAAAATACAAACACATTATGTTCATTAATGGAGCATCCTTAATTTAACACTGAAGAGATTGTAATGTCGAGTCGTATAGTTTTAATCATTTTGACCACTAGCAGACTGAAATAAACAAGTCAGGAATTCAAACGACAAAGATACGATTAGAAGATAGAAAGTGCGAAAACTTGTGTTGAAAGAATTTTTCCTATTAATTATAGCTCCTAAGTGGCTTCTCACGCCCCCGTGCGACTTTCCGCGACGCGAAGAAAGCGGACTAAAACGAGTATTTACGGCGAAGCGAATAAAAAGACGTATTTACGGCTAAGGAAGTAGCAGGCCTAGAGCGGGCTTGGCCCCCTGATGTTCGGAACCCGAGGCCTGGCGCCTGCAGATAACGGGGAGGCCGCGGTGGCGGCAAAAGTCGCGGGCCAACGGGAAATACCGTGCGCAGCGCGGCGCGGCGTGGCGCGGCGCGGCGCAGCGCAGAACAGCGCAGCGTAGCGTTGTACTACTCACCAGCCAACAGCAGCGAGGTCAGGTCCATGGCGCTCGTTGGCGACTCCGACTCTCCTGCAGCGAAACGTCAGGTGCGTCGGGTGGGCGTTGCGACTGCGACAACTGCTTCCGCACGACTGCGACCGCCATCAGACGCTCTCGGCACTTCATACAACTCTTCCCCCTCTCCCCGCGCCGCCCTCCCCCACGCCCAGGCCAGCCCCGTGCCCCCTCCCCTCCTCGGCAAGCGGTGCGGTGGATCGCGGCAAGCGGCACGGCGCGCGGTGCGGCTTGGCGCGCAAGGGAGCCCTGGAAAGGCCCACCCAGCCCATGCCCTCTCCTCCCCGGCCTAAGCTTTCTTCGGATTGGAGGAGCTATTATCCATCGACCCCCAGGGGGCGCGGGCTGGATAAGGGATGTGAATGCCTGGCGCCAATTAATTTACAATATACCATTCCAACGAAATGGATATGAAGGGCCACTTGAATTGTCCTGGTCGTTTACCTGGATTCCTTTTTTTATATCCGATGATTTTTCTTATTTTACTCTCTGGTCATGCTTTGTCTATATTTCTGCGTATGAGTGTTTTCGTCTAGAAGGCCAAGAAAGTAAATGTACAAATCTTATTGTATTGTAAAGTGCTAATTTCTTCAATTGAAAAGGGCATAAGAAAAAAATAATATGTACAGGAGTGTGTGCTTTCCATACTTTCAGGATTCAAGTATTAACATCATTGATCATAAGAGGTCAGAGTAATACTTTCGTTCGTAAATGTGCAGAACGTCCCCAGTGCAGATTATTCTTTGTCAATTATCCTTTTCTCGGTCGTTACAGACAAATAGAGTTCTTTGTTTTTAAAATTCCGTGGACATTTCGCTGAAAATGCGATGCATTTTTCTGTAAGACTTGTCAAGGACTTTTATAACTTTTTTTTTTACTATGTGCCGACGTGCCGACCTGGATGGCTGAGGTGGCTAAGAGCGCGTACCGATTCAGCGCTTCGGAGGGTCGCGGGTTCGAGTTCCGCCTCGTTTGTGCCTTGTCTCTCGTGTATGTGTCATCGCGGAGGGCCTCTGGGCCTCTCCTTCTGCTGACCACAGATCAGAGGAGCCCGCAAGTTTGTTGGTGTCCACTATGCGGTCGAATACGCGTCCCACCGGCTGGTGGCTGGGTAAAAGCCTTGGCGGGCGGGAGGGGGGGGGGGGATAAAGATGTGTAGATTGGAAACTCTGGATATTATTGCGATGGATGTGAGGCGAATTATCGCTCGCTGTAACACTTGCATTTATTTACGGAGAAGGTTAAGGACGCGGAGCTGCGCAAAGCATCTTGTGAGACCGGTCAGTGGTTCCGGACGATGTTGCCTTTAATTATTAGATGCTATTAGTGCGCGGATGTTTAAGAAAGGCTAGCAGTTCATTCATTACCGTCAGAAGAGTTTCCATTCCCTGGGAAAGAATGCTCGAGATGTCCGTGAGAACCTTTGTTTCTGTGTTTTATTCTTGCGAATATAGGCGATTTGTGAAATCCGGTTAGCAAAATACGAAAAGATGATATCTAATCTACTTGGTTTCCTTCATAAAAAGAGCTCGAATATAAGAACTAGTTCACGAGACGTTGCTATTAGAACTATAAGATAAGAGAGAAAAAATCGTGTTTCTTGGTGAGCTAAATTTGTCGAGGGCTTGAGCCGGCTGATTTAATGTTTTGAATCTGCATTTGTATATATTTGGTTGCTTCACTATTGGATTCAGAAATGTACATCTGAAAGTCTAAATGTGTATTAACAATGTTCCTTGAAAATTGCAACATGGAACTACGCGGCATTGGGACAAAATGATGCTTGCTGGATGAGGGATCACGTGCGGTTCGTTGGTGGTGCTGTCACCTCTCCCAGCTACACCTCATTCCGTCGCACGCGGCGCGATGCCCGAAGCAGTAAACGAAAAGTGAATCACTTCCCGGAACTCGGCATATGCAGCGTCAGGTTCAAAGAGAAGCTGGTTGTACAGCCGTTCATTTCCATTTTTGAGTAATAATTATTTTCCGTCAAGTTCTAGAAATTCATAAACTCTCTTTCAGTAAGGCATTCAATAGAACTAATGCAAATAAGAGTCATTTGCCGACCTGGGTGAGCAAGCTCGCTAAGGCTGAAGAACCGTAGCCTGCTTCAGCTCGAAGGGTTGTGTGTTTCCGCCTCGGGCATGGATGTTTGTGTGTGTTCGTGTTGTTCCTACAGTTCCCCCTACAGTTAAAACAATCACAGTGGTCGCTATATGACCAAGTTATTAAAAAGCGACAAAAAAGAGTAATTTATTGCCATGTGAATATTTTTTGATTCCTTTTTGAGTTTTGTGCTTGCTGCATAAATTATGCCGATGTGAGAAAAAAAACAACAACAAAAAAAAAAAAAAACCACCAATGTGTGTGCATATAAATATTTTGCACGGCATTTGGTTCCGTAATAACGTGGACATATTGCACTCGTTCGTAGAATTTTCAGTATATTTCGTTTTCTTTTAGGTTTCAAATCTATTGATCGAATTTTGTAGTAATGAATAAATTAACTTATTTTAAATGCATGGAAAACCAATAAGGCAAATGAGATCAGAGCGAGATTATTGTGGGTCTCCCAACATTACTTATGAATTTCTCCTGTTGTAAATGACAAACGAAGGTTGGTAAGTGTTTCGGATCCAATATTTGTACGTCTCATAAAAATGCTATCAAGATGAAATAAAACACCTCCTTCACTTCTTCCGATATTTCAGTAACTTTACTTCTTTGAAAAGGTAAAAATGATTATTACGATATTCTAGGAAGCTTAAAATGCTAATTGATATGTTGGGGCGTTTTAAAGGTTCTGGAGGGGGTGATGTGACCTCTATTAATCTCTTTTATTTGATCTTATCTATTTGATTGGCAAATTAATAAGGAACACTATCTTACTGTATATGACATTTTTAAAATCCTGCAGTGCAAGCGTGACTCGTTTCGGAGGAAGGAACTAGGAGATTGCTGCATGTGTGCTAGCGGACAGTAATGGAAAACTCTTGTAAATTTCAACATCTCATGAATAATGAGTAATACATCAATCGTTCAGGCTAAATGGGTGGAAGGTTGACACATCCATTACGAACTGATTTCGAGAACCTGCTGACCTGGCCAAAGTTTGTCGAATTCGGCCAAGAATGATCGCCTAACTCAACTACATAGCGTTGATAGCATTACTTACAACGGAAGGTTGGCTGAATGTTCGTGTATAATAACAATCTGTCGGAGGGAACAGATTTCAATAGTAAACCAATGACCTCGAAAAGCCGACAATCAAGCAATCATATTAAGATATATGGTTTATGTTTACTGCCGGCCCGGAAAATAGTAAACGTTTCCTCTGGCTCTTCGTTTAAACGAAAATTTGATGGAAGTTTGAATGTTTTGATGAGACAATTGGGAGTTTGCTGTTTGCGATTATCAATTTCGTATTACGTAGTAGCAAGGTTAAAGTGTATACCTTCATTCTCAATTCATTTGTTTAATCACGTGCACGATTATTAGAAACGTATGATGTATGTTATGAACATTTACACGTTTACGTGTTGATATTGAATTGAATTGAATTTGCCTTATTTTACGTGGCGAGATATAGATACAACACGTTTAAGTGATGACCTATTAACGAAACTTTTATAAAGCATTTCCTTCCCTAAAGACGTTTGTTTAAATATTGAATGACCCTCGTAACCGATCAGTCATTAAGATTTGTCATTGCGATTTCATGCTATTTAACTCCGCGGTGATCTCAGCAACACCAGAAAATGGTATTTGTTTTTTTCAAGTTAGAGTACTAAATTGGTTGAAAATATCATATGAGTTGATGCCTGACTAAACAAATATTGTTTGCCTCCTTTACGTCCACTGAGTTGGGAGCAAGTAGAAAACATTCCAGTCGAAAAGTGGTGGGTAACGTAATAATGAATACATTACTCTTTTCGAGCAAAAATTTTGGGTTTAACCAGTGTGACGCGGGGCTTCTGTTGTTTTCACGGGGACTGCTTCTATTTCCTCCAGTAACAAGTAATTCTGAAGGCATTACTCACCTCTCACACGAAACTTTTTAACTTCTTCTTGGTGCTTAAGGAAACGTCTCTGGCTTATAGTGAATGTGTGTCTAAAGTTGATGGTTGGAACTAGAACCCTCTTTTAATTCTGAAAAGTTACTTAAGCAGACTCCGAGACAGCAGACTCCACTATATTATATTATATTCGTTGATTCGATTGTATTCACATTCGCGTCTTCTACGCGTAGTTTCACAAAATTATAAATAACCACAACAATTTTTTTGCTTTCATTTATGCATTTTTTATGATTGATGTCCCCGGTCCGACAACTGCTATGTCCATTACTTCTGTTAGATAATTGAATATTTTTATCTCGGGAGGTGATGGTGCTCCTTCCGTGGACGTAAGATCCTACACCTCGCCTTCCTAGGGATTTTTCCTTCTAAGTACCTCTCCCAGCGGGGCACCATCGCATCCTGGACAAGCTCTTTTTGCTCCCGACACGTGTGGGGTGCATGTAAGTGTGTGTGTGTGTGTGTAAAGGAAGAGGATAGGACAAGGAATAGGAAGGAAAGATCGGATCGCGCGAACCTGGCCCCTTTGATAGGGTTATGCTCCGGCATTCGTCTGAAGAAACGACGGAAGACTATCAATCAGAGAAGCCAGTCGGTAGAATTCTCCTCGACAGCAACTGAATTTGTCTAGCTTGGGTCGAAAATCCCTAGGACCTCCCGGTCAGAGACGCTGCAGATAGCGGTGATGCTGGCTCTGAGCTAACTCAGATGGTTTGTATTTTCTGATTCCCCCCCCTCCAAAAGTAGAGAAATATTCGTGAGTAAATTCTGTTACCAGAGATTGCATTTTATCCATGAACAGATATGCTCTGAGTAATGCGATAAGGGTTTTCAATAATCTTATCGAATCTATGTATTAAACAAATATATATGTTTTCTCGTTAATGAAATGTTGGAGGGTTGTTATAGCATTGTCGTCGAAGTATTTGTTGCATGGGGTGGGATCAGATTGAGGAGTTACTTCTCATAAGTTCCAATGTGAATTTGTTTGCATTTGGGAAGTCATCTGGGTGAAGTGTAGACTACTGATAAATTTCTGAACTTTCTTGCATGCATGCATGCT